ATATTTATCTATAATAATAATATTTCTCTTATATGATGATAGTATTTAACAAAAAATAATAATTATTAGAAATCTAATTGGTTTTTATTAAGATAATTTAATTAGTTCTTTATTATAAATTAGATTTATGTTATAATACATACTTAATATAGATTATTTTATTAAGATTTAGCATATGTTCTATTTCTATATTTTAATTAGTTTTTCTCATGTATTTAATTTTTCTTTGTGTTATATTGGTATTACCTTGTGCTATATTAAATTTATTTCATGTTTAATTAGTTTTATTTGTGTAATAGCAAAGAAGTATCAATAGTATTTTAGTATTTTAGCATATATTGGCACTAAATTTAAATATACAACACTTAGCAAATTGGAGTAATATTATGTGTTACTCGTGATATATGAGAATGTGTTAGATTCTAATTGGTTCTTTTTGAGATAGAAATAGATATATAAGTAGCATGTATTTTAGCTTAGAATCATCATCGAATAATGAATTGAGATAATAATATCAAATAAAAATTAGTTGTAACTCACATTCCTTTGATCTTTTAATTATGTCATATTAAAAAAATATCTCAGTAATAATTTTGAAAGTAATAAAAGTATAGAAGTTAACTAATATTTCTAATTAAATCTTTTACTTATTGTTATCTTTGATTTATTATTTACTTAACTTTGATTTACCCAACTAGTGGAAGTCATCTTTTGTACTTTAATAAATCATTCGCACTTTTAAATTATAAAATATTTACTTAATTAGTAGAAGTATTAGAATTTATTTCTTTTTAATACTCTCTTCTAACCATCTAGTATCCAACCCTCTCAAGTACACACAGTTACTATTATCACTCTTATACAATTCTTAATTAATTATTATAATTAGTTAATATCTTGTCTATCAATATAAGAATGGTAACAATATACAATTAATAAGTTTAAAATAGTTTTATTAACAAAACTTTTTTATTATTATATTTTTATTGTTATCTCAGTTTTGTATATAAATTATATAAGTATATAATACAAGAATAATATTGCTAAATTATTTCAAGTCTATAATAAAAACTATACTAAATATTAACTACTTAACTATTATTTATTATCAAGTAAAATATTACTTATATTATTACTATTCTTATATGAATAGGCAATATATTAATTAATTATAATAATTAATTAAGAATTATATAAAAATGATAATAGTGACTATATATACTTGAGAGAATTGAATATTAGATAATTGGAAGAAAGTATAAAAAAAATAAATTCTAATACTTTTATTAGTTAAATAAGTATTTTATAATTCAAAAGTACAAATAATTTATTAAAATATAAAAGATGACTTCCACTAGTTGAGTAAGTTAAAGTTAAATAAATAAATTAAAGATAATAATAAGTAAAAGCTTATTTAAAAGTATTAGTTAACTTCTATATTTTTATTACTTTCAAAATTACTATTAAATTACTTGTAAATCACTTTACAATTATTTTTAAATTATATTATTTTATGTTAAATTATATTATTTAAATATATGTAAATATAATACAGATCTATATGATGAGTAAAGTTACTTAAAAATAATTATAAGATTAATTAAAAAAAATATAATACCAAGAAATAATAAGTATAATACTAATTTAATCTAAGTGATACAATTTAAATTAGAATAATATTAGTACTATATTAATTATATATAATTCAAAATATCAAATAGTAATAATATATAAAATAAATATTGCTAAAATATCTAAAATATTTTTTTTAATTAGCACAAAATAAATTAAATATTTTTATTTTTAATTTATTTTTTCATATTAATTTATTTTTTATAAATTTTTTATTTTTTTAGTATTTTATGCTTTTTTAATTACTATATAATTAATAATAACTAAATATAAAAATAAATATAATATTTAATAAAAATATAATAAAATATAAATTAATAAAATATAAATATACAAAATAATCAATAAGAATTAAATAAAATTAAGTGTCCAATAAAAATAAAAGAGATAAAATATATTATAATAATATATATTTATTATTATATTATTACTATTTTAAGTTTTATCATAGAATAAATACATAAATAACACATAAAATTAGATAAAAAAGTTATATAAAGTAAAAAAGATTATTAATTTACTAAAAATAAATAATAGTAATATAAGCTATAATTAGTTATAATTATATTAAAATTTTCTAATTAACTATTGCAAGTTATAACTAATTAGAATATTATTTTTAATAAATAATATATATTTATTTTATAATCAACTAAAATAAAATCAGAAATATCCAAAGATGATTATATTTTTTTTAAGTTTAATTTATAAACAAACAAAATATTAATTATTTATTTACTAATTTAATTATATAACTATAATTTTATAATTAAAATAAGAGATTAATTAATTATAAAAATTATAACTTCAATTAAAACAAAAAATTATAAGATAAAATATAATAACTTTATAATTAAGACAAAAAATTATATAAATACTAATTATTTCAGTTAAAAGAATTATTTTTAAAAATAAAAATAACAAATTTAACTTGTTATTTTTCTAAGTTAAAATATATAAATAATTAATAATTAAAAGCAGAATCTTTATTTACATATAATTATCTTAATTAGACAAGTAACTAACTTTATAAAGTTAATTATTTATCTAATATATTAAAATAAATGTCTATATATTGTCATCATTTTATTTGAATTTCAAATATATTATATCTTTTTATATACTCAATACGTATTTCAAGTCAAATAGAATAAATAAGATAAATAATAATATATATTCATTAAATTACTAAAGATAATGATATATATTCATTAAATTACTAGTCAATTAGAAAGTAATTTAAGAAATCTTCTTATAATTTTATGTATATTTAATATGATAATTATAATAATAATTTATAAATAAATAAAATATTATAAATTCAATTTATTAAATTATTTTAACAATATAATATTACAAATATGTAAGAGATTATTAATATAATATCACAAATTATAACAAAACTTTAAAAATAATAAAATAATAAAAGAAATATTTAAATATTGTCATTGATTCAATATTGATAATAATTTAATATAAAAACACATGAACGAAAGATATAGTTATGATAAAAATTAGTCATAATGATATTTGAATTACATATTTAGTTTAATAATATTCTACTTCTTTCTATCTCTTTTTATTTTTATTTTTATTTTTTTTAATTCTTGTATCACTTATCTTTTTATATTTATCTTATTATTATCTTTATTTGAATATATTAATCACATCATTTTCTTGGCAAATTTCATCATTTTCTATATTAGTTTAGCTTTTATTTTCTATTTTTGCTATTGGTACTTAGATGTAGAACAAAATTATTAATTATAATATAGTTAAATTTTGTGTAATTTAAAAGAGAACCAATAATTTCATAATATTAGCATAAATCTATTGTGTTTAAGGATGCTTGTCTAAATCCTTTCAGAAAAATATCATCATAATTTTGACAGGTTACACACTAATTATTAATTAAAATTTCAGCATAATTTCAATTATGATGGGTTTCAAAACTCGTCAGAATTTTGGTGGGCTATTTACTAATAGTTTATTATAATTTCAACAGAATTTCAGCAGTCACTAAGAGATTTCGGCAAGCAACCTTAACTGTGTCACATGCTGCGCTACAACTGTATCATGTTGTGTTATACTGCACATTACTGTATTACACTGTGCTATTGTAATACAAAAATATGTATAAATACAGGTGCTGATAATTAATAAAAATCAAGTGCTTCAGTTTTGATTTTAAGTTCTTTTAGTTAAGTTTAAGTGTTCTAGTTTCTATTTGAAGTTTCTTTTGGTTTAATATCGAGTTTGACATGTTAAATTGATTTTATTTTGGAATTTTAAGTAATTTTTGATTAAGTTTATCTTTTAGTTTAGTCTTGTTATTAGTTTAGTCTTATTTTCATCACCCTTTATCTTGTCAAGAAATATTATTTTATCATCATAAATACTATTTAGTCACAATATTCAAAGTAAATTGCCATGAACACAGTTACTATTGTCATTTTGAAATACTTTCATATGCAAAAGCTCAAAACAATAACAGTTTTTTTGGTGCTCCCTCTATAAAGGTAAATTTGAAAAAGAAAATCTGAATCCCACACAATCTGAAAGCATAAAAATAAAATGAGAATTCCAATTACTCTTAATTGTACTTGAAATTAACCAAACTATATCAAGTAGAGATTTATAACAAATAAAAACATACATAGCAACACTCTTCGAGCATTATCATTTCAACACTGATACCTCTCAAACTCTTACTCAACTTACTGTCTGGGTGTTCGATTACTCTTCAAAAATCAATCAACAAATTATAAACTATGTTCAAAACTTGTGCCAAGATATTTACGACTTCGTACAGTGAAGATAACAATATAAATTAAATTTGAAGACAAGTAGAACAGAGAGAGTACAAGCAAGACAAACCAGACAACAACAACTACAACAACATTGACAACTTCTACAACAGCAGCGATAACAACAATTACAAAACCAAGCAGCTTTAGTTTTTCAGAAGAATTCTTGCAAGCAGATTTGTAAATCAACTTCATCAACAACCCTATAAAAAAAAATAAAAGACAAAAATCAGGAAAGACATGTAGTTGGTGTGGAAAATTCAGAGTATTGGAGGATCAGAAATGTACAAATGCAAGAATTGCAATATAAAAATAGATAGATATCAATGGCGCCCGAGGGATATTCCTTCGGGCTTTGCTTGATGGAGCCATGATCTTGTCATAAGACAGCTTCATGCAGGAAATAGTAAATTTACTTAGTAATACTTGGTATTGATTATTATTGATGTGTTACAATCCATCCGCTCTATTCTTCGGCTATATAGGTAATATCGAGTATATCAATTTTTTAATTATAAATATGTAATATCGAGTACCAATACAAGGATAGACTCTCAATTATTAATCTTCATCCATACGATCTCCACCATGTTCTTCAGTTGTGTCTTGGTTATTATTAGCGTTATTTTGCTGCCTATTGGCTTGCTCTTGTATGGCCCTGAGGAATGCTTCAACTCCTATACGAATAAGTACAAGTAATGCAAGAAATATCAATACATATTCATTTGCGATAAGAATTATACTTGAATAAAAATTGGTCATTTTCTCGAAAATTTACCAATACCAGCCGATGCATCTAAACCCAACGATGTCAGCAACGGTCCTAATTGACCTGATTGTAAAGCAACACTTAATGTTTGTAATGCCTGTAATCAAGAAAATGTTAGCAGAATATTTTGTTTTGACTGATAGCATAGTGACATCATCATCATCACACCTGTGTAAATTGAGGGCTTTGTATAACTTCTCGAAGCTCATCTTCAGTTCTTTCTAGATTCTGTGGGATATGAGGAAATAATGCTAATGTAACGAAAATACGGGTTGTTTTAGTATTTATTTCAAGTCTTTTTTATTACATATGAATATATACTTCTTTTACATACCCGAAGCGATCTCGGGGTTACTCAAAAGGGGACTAATTGCGGAGGGCGTGAGCACATCTACCAGACTCAAATCTAATAAAAAAATCCATTTAAAAAAACTGAAGAGTTACAAGTGAAATAATCACGAGAAAAAATGATAAATATTTACCAGGTTGACGGCCTCCCTCTATAATTGAATTTATATGAATTAGTGATGTCAATTAATTAAAAGTCATTCGTGTTTTAAGACGCACCTGGAACTTGTATTTTTGATAAGATATTTCTCAAATTTCCCAACTGTTCCGGTGTTACACCTAATTGTTCGGAAGTTTGTGGTGCGGCAGAGCCAGCTTCAGATGTTGGTGCAGTGGCAGACTGTGGTTCAGCTGGAGTAGTTGAAGGAATAGGAAGACCACTTGATAAAGCCCAATAACATCGAAGAGATAATTCAATATAAAGATATTTAATTAATGTTCGAATTCGGGTGAATCAAAATAAATATTCATGTAGTTATTATTATTACGTACCCAAAAGCTCCATGACCTTGTAGAAATTGTAACAGTTGTTCTTGATCCATATTACTAAATCCAGCTATATCATCCATACTTCGAAAAGTACCTCCCAAAGCACCACCACTTTGTCTACTCTCTGCTAGTCCACCTTGCGGATCATTTATCAATCTATTTATTTTTGCTGCATGCTCCTCATCTTTATCATCTTTTGCGTCTTGCATCCAGAAAAACAATTTCTGAGATGAAGATTTGAAGTTGAGTAAATATACACGTCCAGTTGTACATTCACTCACACGAACAAATTCGGCTTCTTCACGAAAAACAATTAAATCCTACACAAACATTTATTTTTTTTTGAATTAGCCTATAGAATTATAAATGACATTAAAGAGAATGGTTTGATACTCACGTCCTCTACTGTGTTTGTCTTTCTGTCTTTCCAATAAAAATGCATTAATTGCTCTTCCCCCTAGATAATGATTAAAATTTATTTACATGAATTATTCACAGTAACGACTAACTTAAGAGATGCCAACCTGATCCATATAGATTAAGCTGTTTTCATTATCAAGTGAGTTGAAATGCGAAGGCAAGAGAAAGTATGAGAAAGCTTATTCTTACAATGAAAAAAGTTGCCGAGCGATTTAATCAAGAATTTAACTTGCCCCTTTCGTTCATCTGGCTTTAACCACTTGCTAGTTCCCTCTCGTATCATTTTACCAGCTTTAAATTCGACAGGGAACTTTCTTCGCGAAACGGGAGCAGGAAACAAAGAGGTAGACATTTTGAAATATTAATGTTAATGGTTCTAATGAAAATTACGTGTATAAGAACAATTATTGTGGAACAGAGTGAACGAGATTCTACTTTATCGATTTCCTCCACGTGATTTCAACTATTTTTTATTCGCGTCCATTAGTTCAATACCTTACCACCTGAAAGAAAAAATGAGCAGTTTCTCAAGCGACTATGGCCTTTCTTCTTCCAGCTCACCCTCTAACATGTACGAATCTATAACTGAATTAAATTTTGTTTCTATAATTCATTTTCTAAATGAAATTGGCAAATCGCTTTTATAGGGAAAGTCGAAAACAGGCTGTCATGAATCAAGTCCGAAGTGAACTTGCTTATGCGAATTTGCAAGAAATCGTTACTGTAATTGTCGTTTCTGTTATTTTTTGGTCAATTGAATTTCTAGCTTTACAATATACTGATGATGTCATATCTTACGTTTTCGTTAAATAGAAAATCAATGAAAAATGTTTTACCAAATGTATTTCAAAACCGGGATACTCGTTAGAAAATAGTGAAAAGGTAATTTTGGGGTTTTTTTGTTTTTTTTGTCTAGTTTTTTCATGCTCTTCATCTTTGACTAATCAATGATTTTTATCTTGGCACTTGTATAAATACACGTTATAACCAGCAATGTGTTGCAAAATGTATGGATAGATATATGGAAGCCTGGAATATCGTATCGCGAGTATATTTGTCACGAGTTCAACGTGAAAGTCAATCACAAGGAGGAAGTTTATGATCCTTCTTCATCGAACAATATTTATGTATTTATATGTGATGACGAAATCTAAAAGACAGTCTCCACCAAACAAACTCTCATTTCGCCATCGTGTAATGAACCTAAAAGTACCAAGTATAAATATGCATCAACTGGTGTTTTAAATTAATTGACAGTAGGAGGGAGGGTAGTGATGATAATAAATTTGATTTTTGACGCGCGTCATTCAATGATGATGTAATTCGATCTTTCGTATATAGGTATATAAATGCATGAAAGTCATGGAGATCAATTGACACAAATTTCCAATTATCTTTAATGTCTTCACCTACAGACTCTACTCAAATCAGAACTTATCTTGATAAAAAGCTGCAGAACAGAAAAACTGCAACATGGCTTTGGTCTTCTGCAATAGAAAAAATAAAACAAAATAGACCAGCTTCAAATGAGGCTTATGAGAAATTCGTTAATTTCTGGAAGACCGTATTAATTGAAACAACGGAACAAGGGTGGCTAGGTTCTGACGTGTTATGTTTTGAGTTCAACGAGAAAATAAACAAACAGTTCAGTTATGACCTTGACAATAATGCAATATTAAGTCCACCCACAATGACGGCACTTAATTTGGTCATAGTATGTGCTCAAAAATCCTCATCTTGCGTTTCTTTACAATGATTAACCTAATTTCCGTAAACCTTGGTTCCTTTTGATTGCACTAGCAAGAACTTTGTGAGCGAAATGAATTAATACGCGTCGATAGGTTTAAAGCTTTATATACGCAATCCTGGGCTAGTTGGATCGTTTCAAGTATAATTCTTGGGCCAATTTGGTGGAGCTATGAACGCGTCATTACGGGGGTAAAAAGTGAACCTGGTCCAGGAAAATACGTTGTGATGTCGACTCTTGCGGAAGCTGCCGAGCGCATCTCTAAACATCACGCTAAAATTGCTATCCATGGCATTACCGATAATTTATACACTCTGTCTTCGTTCAAAGAACAATATGGTGAAGCAGCGATGCCCGGTATAACATTTTCAGATACAGATTGGGATATTTTACTGACTTTCTTGGAGTATGATCGGCAAATGTTGATAGCCAGGGCGTGGGATAAAGAGGGTTTAGGACATAAAAATGAAGTTGTAAGTTTTTTGATTACTGTCTTGTCTTTGATGATCATCCATAAACTTAGAGATTTTTTTGTTAGGCGATTAAATTTCGCGCAACTGATGATTTGACGCGTAACAAGCTGGAAATAAGTGCTACTTTAGAGCATGGCGTCTTAAATATAAAAGCAACTTCAGAAGCACTTCATAAGCAAATTCAAAATCTGGAAAATCGAGTTGAAGTGTAAGTGAGATGATATACGCGAAAAGCTAGCAACTGATTAACCGAGTTTTCTTCCCGTATTGCTAGACTTGGGGAGAGAGTGAATAATTATCTTAGACGTCAACAAAAAACATCTGCCAAATTAGCACTAAAACAAAAGAAGGAGATCGAAAAGATCCTTGATAAAAGAATCGATTCATTACATACACTTGAGAGTATTCTTATGAAAATGCAAGAATCAGTAACACAACGAGAGGTAAGCAGAAGTATTATAGTTGTTATTTATCAAGAAATCAAATATAATAATAATAATGATCTTTATTACGCATAGATAATGAAAGCATTTGATGTAGGGGCGACTACTCTTCAAAATGTACTAAGTAGATCGGGTGTAACTTTTGATTCTGTGCAAGACACAATGGACAAACTCGAAGACGTATTAATGGCACAAAATGAAATTGATGAGGCATTGACTACTGCAAACAAGACCATCTTAACTTCAACGAGCGAAGATGACGATGAACTGGAGAGAGAATTGGCGAACTTGCAAAGATTGGAGAACATCAAGGAAATTCCAAAAGCACGAAAAGAACAAAAAGACGTAGAACTTTTGGAAATAGAACAAAAGATTTCACAATTGAACATGCTTCCTGCTCCCTCAAAGAATATTCCCACCAATACTGAGGAAACTGAAGGAACTCCTCCAATCATAACTAAGGAAACAATTAAAGAAAATGGTCCAAACAAAGTGAAAGATCAACAAGAACCAGAAGACAAAGATGCTATGTTTTGGCCTGCCTACTGAGGACTTGTGTGTGGCGATGATCATGATGTCCCTCCCATCTCTGCATCCTCTTCAATTCCTCGAATATATAAGACATTATTGCATCTAAGGTTGTTATATAGTTATTATTCATTTTTTAGATATTAAGCACGAAATATTTATCTTAATCATCAAATCACCTGATTAATACTTCGCCAAGCGCACCCGTTGATTGTCCATCAACATATTCTTCAGTATTAGCCAGCTATTAACGGAAAACATTGACTTAAATAAATATCCATTACTTAAAACATGCAAGTTATTAAGAAAATAGGCAGAAACCTGCAAGTTCATATAAGAGTCTACCGAGACCAAATAACCCTTATACTCCATTCCCCACTTTAGACGCACTATCACTGGTTTCCCAGTTAATTCTTGTAGGAAAGGTTTTGGATTTACTGGTTGGAACTAGTTTTTCAAAAGATAAATGTTTTTGATAGACTACCCAGGATTATTCGAATATCATTTGAAGTAATGAAGTGAATTTACCGTCATTATTAATTAATTCGCGATGTTTTGGGTGCTTTTGTCCGCTTTTGTCCACTTCGTCTGTTTCGTCTGCTGCTTCTTTTTCGTCTGCGTCTGCTTTATCAAAAACTTTGCTGTATTATGATTGGCCAATTGCTTGATCTGATCTCATGTAAATCAAACATTAACTGTAATTTTTGAAGGTTAATGAAAATTGATAACATGAGATCTTTTCGCTTTGAAGATGAAGATGAAGAAAAGACAGTAATCATTAAAGAAGTAGATACATTATATCTGTGTTAAAATCTAATGTCGATATTTATTATACTATTTCACTTTTCACTAGTTAGATATTAGATCCATCTTATGGATGCTATTTGTGGCCATCATCATCAGTGCTTGCGGAATATATTTGGAGGAAAAAAGATTTATTCCGAGATAAAACAATCTTGGAAGTAAGTCAACAACGCCGCCTATACATTTACAATAATGCAACAGTAATCTCATCAATTGTTTCAAAAAAAGCTTGGTGCAGGAACATCACTACCTGGTTTTCTTTGTGCCTTACTCTCTCCAAATAATCATGTAATATTAACTGACCGATCGGATGTACCGCAAATTCTTGAAAATATAAAACAAGCTGCAGAGCTTAATGGGATTGAGGCAGCATACGAGAATAATAATGATAATCTCGAGAAAAGAGTATGGATCCGTGGATTAAAATGGGGTGAATTTGATGAAAGGGGATTATTTTGTTTGTTGGATGATCTTGAGAAATTGGGAAGACATGTCGATTGGATTTTGGGTAGTGATACTTTTTACGATCCAAAAGGTAAACTCAAAATTTTTAGAGAATACACCAATTATTCATTTCTTGGTTTTTTTTAGATTTTGAAGATTTGATCAGCACTGTCGCATACATATTGACATTTCATGCACCGCCCCATGCAAAATTTCTAACTTCGTATCAAGAAAGAAGGTAGCAGCATAATAACATTGAAATGTGATCTTTACTAAACAAAAAAAAATTAAACGAAACCAATATTCTCTAGTTCTAAAAGATCGATTCAATTTCTGGCTGATAAATGGAAATTATCTTTAAGCCTCGTACCGTTGGACCAGAAGACTTACCAAGAAATTTCCAATTATCAAGGCGCTGCGGTTTATTTGATTTGTATTTCAAGAAAATTATAAATATCTATTATACAAAAATTGGAAATAATAATGACCAGTTACAAGTTATATATATTCAATCAAGTCAAACCCTTGACTATTAAAATGTCTTTAATATATTAAGATTGACAATCAATCTAAGTAGATTTCTTCTAGTTCGCTTCTGCTATTATTATAACTGGATGATCTGAAACTATCAAATAAATGATGAAAAATTTTAGAAATGAATGTATCATTCTTGGTATGGTCATTAAAAGCAATCGACCTTTTGGTGCAAGAATTATATGCTAAAATTCTATTATTATTATTATTATTATTATAAACTCGTAGATGCTCAAAAAAAATTCTAAAATACACAAGTTAAAAATATTGATGGAAATCTATCACAGATTATTTTCGTAAATACTTTTTCACGAAATTTGGCAATCCAGGTAATTCGACGTGTTTCACCATACGCTGTGCCAAGAATGCGCCACTAAGATACACAGCAGCTTTTACTTCAAATCGTGTAGAAAATATCAAACCAATCACACAGGTAAGAGTGATGAGAAACGAAATAGTGTCTACGTTATAAAATAACCACGTTTTTATTCCTCCCTAAAAAAAAAGTAATTTTAATTTACAATTAAATCAAGGTTAATTAATTTCGCCAATAAACATGACACTCACCGACTTATCAACCATAATGTATAAATCGCTAACATATTCTCCCTCCTCGCTTTCCAGTAAATCCTTGATCTGCTTTACCGCTTCATCCCCTCGCTCACCGTTCTCGATCACATGCTCATTTCCAGCCCGATCATGGTAAAGCACACTATAAGGAAAATTAAAGGTGTGAACGAATCTCACACGTTCCTCGATAAATACTTGCAATTTCTCGTAAATTATGCGGGATTTGGTGATTTTAACGTCTATCTCGCGTGCAAAATGTATCGCTATCGTATCAATCGGAGTGGGTTTTCCGGATGTTGTTGAGGACTTTTTGTCTTTTGTGAGGCGTTGTCGTGACATGATGTTTTTTTTGCAAGTTAAAGCTGGAATAAATTAGCAACGCGATGATAATATATAACTTGGTTAGTGACCAGTGTCACAAAGATCTTGAACCACACGTGTCCCAAGTATACATTTTTCATTCATTGTCTTTTTCCAAAAGTTTTGCGTCACCACGTTTCATATGCGTTGGCGTAAAAAAAGCCATCTCACAAAACTTTAGCCATTCATTAAATCATTACGAAGATCAGTTCAACGGATAAAAAATCCCAATTCTACTCGACCTTGATTCAAACTTACACTCTATGCAATTGGAAAAAAAATTCTGGCAAGCATTTTCGCATTTAAATATTTATCGTAAATCATATTTTTCACTTCGACTTACATGTCGACTTTTGTTTATTCAAAATTATTATCAAATATATTAAACAAATATCAGTAGGATCAGCGATAAAAAAAGATTTTTTTTGCTCGCACACATTAAAATCTCAATGCTATGTTTCCCCCTTTTAAATAACAATAATCCTTTAATTATCAAAAAATAATGTATATACAAAAAAGCAACATGATGACAATGATGATTATGATGCAAAATAAAAAAAAAACAAATCATCGTCATAATGATAAAGAAATGATAATAACGATAACGATAATAAGAATGTAATAACGATATATTAAAAGTATCAATAATAAAATAATTTACTATCGAATGTTTTCTTGCTATGCAGCGTAGAAAGCATCCATCCATAAAATTACATTAGCACGATACACCAATCTAAATTGATGAAAAAAATATGAGGATGAGGTGACGATGAGATCGAGAGTATTACGTAAAATGAAAAATTGTGTTTTTAGGAATAAGAATGATGTTATTTAATATCTTCTACTGTCAGACTTCATCCAAGTCATTTGTTGCTGCTGTTGATTGTTATTATTATGTACGCTAAGACGTCTTACTGCAGTCTCAACTTCATGTGGAATTTCTCCTTGATTTTCTTCTACCTCTTCTGCTTCTTCTCCTACACCATCTTCTTCCTCTGGTTGTCTTGAAACTTGATCTTCTGTTCTATCGAACGGTACAATAATCTCCATGTCATTCGATAGTCCAATTTCATTAGGATTCGTTTGCTGGGAATGTACCGATGGATCAAGAAATTCTGGAACAGATTCCACCCGAATGATCTGACCATATAATCCATTAGTAGTATTATTATTATTATTAATATTATTAGTTGTTGTTGTGGTGGTGGTGGTGGTAGTGGTGGTATTCTCTAGCTCTATTTCAGCTAATGGTGCATATACTTCATCAAATCCAGCCAAGTCTAATTTTTCTCGAACACTTGCCACCCAATCGTGATTGTCCGGGTTCTTTAAAAATTCAATTAATTTTGTAAATTCTTCCACTAAAATTCTCTCTAATTTTGCCCCGCTTAATTCTTTTGTCATTAAGAGTACTCCTTGACCAAGTAATTCACATAATATACTCAGTCTCCAAGCACAATTAAGACGATGCTTGCCCACCTCCTTGCCACCCGTTCGTTCTTTTATATGCAGAGTCACCGTTGGATCAATGAACGATGAATATGTAGGATAAGGAAGAGGGGATGATGGATCGTTTGCCAGTGAATTCCTCTTGACTGAAGAATTATTTGCTTCGGTTGAATGATTTTTCTGTCCAAGTTCATCCTTATAGGCATTATATGTTGTAAATAGTTTATACAACTCTAAATTTGAAAAGACTTTTGAAGAGATGCCATCAATACGGGAAGTAGGTGGTGATTGAAGAAGATGACATAATAAATTCAAACGTGGAGAAGTCGGCACAGATGAAGAGTTCGATGCTTGAATTGACTGATAAGTGTCTTTAATTGCAGCTATCAATGATTTAGATTCTTCAAGTCTTTGAACAAGTGTGGGTTTCGTGATATTTATGAAAAGTTTTTTGACAGCCTCACAACCTTAAATTCGATTAATATAATTGTCATTAATTAATTAATAACAAAGAAAAAAAAGCATAAAGAGCTTACTACTTACTCAGTGGTGGTGCTTTATGTTTCTCGGGCGTTCTCTTCTTTGCAGACTGCGCATTAGGTGCAGTATGATGAATGAAATTGTCTTCATCTGAGTTTGCACTACTAGCTCGTTTTCTCTTGTTGATCGGAGTGAGGGTATTATGATGAGGATGGTGAGATTGCTGTAGATTAATTTGTGCATGACGCCACATGTCGCTATTGAGAGAATGATCTTCAGCAGGTATCTCGTCTTTTGCTAATTCATCCATATCTTCATCAGCTTCATGTGAAATATTATAAATTGATCCATCAAATCCATTTCCATTTGTATTATTAGAAATAGAATTACCAGTTAATCCGGGATGTATCACAAATGGAAGCCTTTGATTATTGTTGCTAGAAGAACTAGTGTTAGTACCGGTATTACTATTAGACGAGTGTGAAGCTGGATGTTGTAAATGCGATTGCTGATGTTGCATATCTAGATCGAATTCAACTACATATTCTCGTAATGGCGATGTCGGTAATCCGTCCCCATGGAAAAATTTAACTTTGTTATTTTGGAAAAAGTAACCTTTCAATCCAATGTCATCAAGCACTGCTCGAATCGCCGCCAATATGGTTGCTAATTTTCGTGGTGATTCTTTGACTTTGTCATTGATGACTTTTGCCAAAATAATGAATTGGTCGTCCGTTATAATATCACTGATAGAAGGTTTAATTAGCTCTGGCGGCGGAAAAGTGGAATGTGTCAGATTTTGCTCTTTAGAATTTGTAGTTGAGACTTTATTGTCTACTTCCATTTCATTATCAGTATCAACTGGTGCTTGTTCCTCTGGTGTGGACTTGGCACAGTTGACAAATTCCACGATATAATTTTGTCCTTTATAAATGAACGCGACCGTTTTACCCGAGCCAAAGATCGTTTTTGGAAAATACGGTTTTACTAGCATAGCCTTCAGGGCCGATAATAAACTTGCCAAGGTGTACGGTGACTCGGACGCCTTATTCTTTACGATGTTGACAAGTTCTAAGATTTGCGCGTCTTTAGCCAAGTCGGCGATAGTCGGCCGTATAGAGTGTTCGTAGGAGGGTGGTAGTCCGTCTCGCATGCTGATAACTAGGTTTCGATTTTTTCACGACAAAGTATTTGTATCGATAAGCAGCAAGAAAGATAGGATTATATTATTATTATTATTTATTATGGTTGCTGTTGTTATATATTTGCTTAAGTGATCTTTTGGACTTTTTAGTATTTTAAGTGTGTACGGGCGCGCGCGTAGTGTGTAAAAAGCGAAAAAAGCTGAGGTCGGGTTTTTCACCGGAAAATGGTAAGAATCAAGTAATTATATTAGCAGGTTTTCCAGCCTACCACACGTCTAATACAATATTGTCTATGTTATATGAAATTTTCCAAGGTGAGAGGTGGGTATGTTGAGTGAACTCGAGTCAAAAAAAAAATATTTTAAAAAACGATGTGTATACTCCCAGTTTTGTGAGAAAAAAATAACATCTTTAATGAACAGGCGGAACCGTTCGGTATCACTCTTTTCACAAATTTTGTTCCGCAAATAGGCCGCAATTGTAGTTTCATAAGGTAGGACAGAGCTCGGCCCGTCTCTCCGGATTGGAAAGGATTGTATCAATTTCTAGGGATCCCGATATTATTACTACGCCTCACTCATGAACAAAAAAATTATAATATAACATCGACATATTATTCTTTAGTCAGCTGGTCACGTATAATATTTCTTTATAGAAAAGTCGGCAATCAATGGGCTAGCCTATTTTAGAGTTATGCATTCCCCAGGCTTATTCGGAGAACCATTTTTAGGGGTTATTCAAATGAATACTGACTTACGAAGAAAACCAATTGGGAAAAGCTCTTCCCCCTTTGTTTCCTTCCCATCTTTGTGTCGAGTAATTTGTTTATCCAATGATATTTCAGATTTAAGGATATTTACCAAGTAGATTTTAGTTTAATATGTATATGAAAATATGCAAGCTATATTCAAAATAAAATTTTCGCGTATATCACTAAAAAAAGCAAAATCTTTATTTACAAGAGAAAAGTCTTCTGTTTCCCTTCGTTCTTGTTCTTTTATCAGTAATAACTTTAAATGCTATGATCGTCATCACCAATCTCGATATTTTAGCGGAATTAAACCAGAAACATATAAAGAAGACAGAAAACATTTAAAGAAATCCATACAAAAAATCATCAAAGAACATGACTCAATAATATATAGCGCACCAAAAGGGACGAATCGGATTATGATTTTGTGGCATGTTGCTGGAGTATTACAATTGATGTTTTGGCAAGTTTTGATTTCGAATTCGTTGGTTCATTATCTACGTCAACAGAATCCAACTAGATAATAAACGAACTTCCAGGTTAAATATTACGGATTTGTATTGGCGAATATCGGACGATAAAACCAATGCGTATGTATTGTATCATAAATTGTATAAATACGTAAAGCTTTCTTTGTTGATTATAATGACGAAATCTCGATAGAAATGAAACAACGGGTCCCTCTGCTGCTGCCACACATACACCTACTTACAAACGCGTCCTAATAGTAGGAGGGATGATGGTGATAGCAGTCAGTATTTCCGCTTTGATGTTTGTTATCCCTGACAGGTATGTTGATGTATTTTATCACCATTACATTACGTTTCAAAGTATCAACCAATTGATGGTTGCTATTTTCACCGACTTAGAACTATTATGTGTGTACGAATTTTAAAAAATGGAAGTGAAGCACAACTGGAAACTGGTCGAAAGTTTCCATGGAAAAGAATTCGCAATTTTCAAATTGACGATTTGACTACTCAAGAACTGTTGTTACCCGAAACAAAAGTTAGAATGGGTAATTAATTATACTGGATCTTTAATTATTAATTATCGATCACTAAAAATTGATCGGCCACTGCTCCAATTCGAAATGTAGTGGGGAAAGGCGGCGAGAAACATATCCCAAAATACCTCAGAGACAGAAACAGAGGCGACTGCGACTCCGACTCCAAAAGTAAAAATTATTTTCGGCCAATCTTTATTCGTGCAAAAGGAGAACGAATGGGATTTATGCTAAGTCGATTGGGGCATTTCGAAGATCCAAAGTTATTTGATTCGTTGTTTTACGATAGATCTTCGGCAAATGTTTTGGAGATCGAGTTGCTCGGAAACCAGAAATTTATCAAAAAAGGCTAACAAAGGTAAATGGTGATTTGTTTCCAAGCATTAAATCGAAATCGAATTCATTGATACAATTATATCAGCGGATAATTTATCGTTTATTGCTTATCTTTATTCTCATCAATAACTCCAAATTTTCGACCAGCCGCAGCTTCAGTACAATAATACAGTGCTTTCAATTGTTCTATACATTTTTCCGGTTCTTTGGCATTCTTTGACAAACATTGATCGTATTCAACAATACTGGAATTACACTTTTGTTTTACTTCCCGAAGCTCTTTTATGCTATTATAATTATTATTAATGCTGTATCAATTAAGCTCAAACCCAAAAGTGAATTATGATTGAAAAACGTTTTTTTTTTGTTTGGGAAATAAAATACAATAAAGGAAAAACGTAAATAGACGTTTATTAGGTCATCGTTATACTTACTTTTCATCCGCGCACTTGGTCAATTCTTTCTTCAATGTCAAACACAGAGAATTTGTGTGCCAATCATGTGGATTTTTCTCGACGCATCGCTGGTATTGGTCCAGTTGTGGGCTGCAATATTTTACCACCTGTTCGAGCGTGACATCCATTATCTTCAATATGAACCAAGTGAGAAAATTTTAAGTATACCAGCCGAGCCACCAATCATCTATTTGCGAGGAAAAATTTTAGCTAATCCCAGGATCCACACTTCGGCTTATCCGGATCACTTTGTACAATTCACGTAAAAAATAACGATATATATATAAAATTACATTTTGCTTTCTTTCAAAATAATGGAAACTTCTAATATTGCTTCTTCTTCTTCCTCGTCAGTAGCGCAGCAAGAATCTTTTACAAACATTCCACCTACAGCCTCAACTTCAACACAACCCTCACAATCCCCACAAACTTCAACCACTGCGTCAAATGAAATCTCAGCGAAAAAGCAGCCCGTTGTCTTATTATGTATTGGAATGGCCGGGTCTGGTAAAACAACACTTATGCAGGTACTTAGTTAGCTTTGATGAAATGTAGATACGATGATTTTTACGCGAAAAGCTCACTCGGAATTATTAAATACTCTTTGATTTAGCGCATCAATGCACATTTGCATAGTATCAAGAAACCACCATACGTGATAAATTTAGATCCAGCTGTCACTCAATTGCCATTCACTGCAAATATTGATATACGAGATACAATTAATTACAAGGAAGTAATGAAACAGTATGTGTCTTCGTGGCTTGGTTATTTTTTTGTGATAGGAATTGATTTGATTGAATCGAATAATTATACATTGGAATAATTTAGATATAATCTAGGTCCAAACGGTGGGATTCTCACAAGTCTAAATTTATTCACGACAAAATTTGATCAAGTATTAGAGTTTGTGGCAAAAAGAGCTCCAGCTTTAAAGTATGTGTTTGCAATTAATCGTCTAAAGAAAATATATAAATTAAGACCACCAACGTTCATTAGTTTTCTATAATTAATTGAGTTGCTAGTCACATAATAGTGGACACACCCGGACAAATTGAGATTTTTACGTGGTCTGCGTCTGGAGCAATTATCACTGATGCACTAGCTGCCACTTATCCATGTGTTGTTGCGTATATAATTGATACACCGCGTACAACAAATCCTGCTACTTTTATGAGTAATATGCTGTACGCTTGTAGGTAGTTATAAAAAAATCATTATGGGGATTTGTATTTTTTCTATTCTCGATCTTGCCATATCTAACTATTGAACAAATAATAATTTTTTCCCTAGTATTCTATACAAAACCAAATTGCCGTTCATACTAGTATTTAACAAGACTGATGTTGTATCACACGAATTTGCCGTTAAATGGATGACAGATTTCGAGGCATTCCAACTCGCATTACAAAAAGAAACAAGTTTTATGAATTCTTTGATGCATTCGATGAGTTTGGTGTTGGATGAATTCTATCAGCATCTTAGAGTAATCATATTTGGATTCATTTCTATATCCTTGATTGTTTAAAATTGAAAGCGTGTTCAATTTGAATTTTTTCTTTTAGGTAGTAGGTGTTTCAGCAATGACCGGCGAAGGAATCAATGAATTCTTTGAGGCTATTGACAAAGCAGTTGAAGAATATGAGACGTGGGTGAAATTTAAATTGATTAATATATTTTTATTATTTTTAAAATTTAATACTTTCAAATTCTTATATTGACATTAGCGAATATAAACCGGAAATAGAAAGATTAATACGTGAAAAGGTAAATAGAACAAAAACCGATTTTGTCTATGGGAACTCGAGAAAATGATAATAGCCTAAATTTTATATATGAATTGCTTTCGTTATATTAGGCAGAAAGACAAGAAAATGAAAAACAGGCACAAATTAATAAACTGATGGAAGATATGGATGTTTCTGGAAATGCGGTGAAGTCACAGAATGGCATGTAACCTTTTTTAAAGATGACTGACGTGTCAGAATAATTAGTGTTTCTTTTTTTAATCGCATCTTTTTATTGCTTCCCTTTTAATATTAATATGGATTAACAGACGAGGATGACTATGATGATGAGGATGAAGGTGAAGACGAAGACGACGAAGATTATGAAGATGACACATTCAAAGGTATCAGTATATCTAACGTTGTAACGGAAAAATTCCTTTTTGTATTATGGATTGTACTAAGTTACTGACTGTTGTTTCGTTTGTTATACATAGAGGAAGAAGATTACAGAGAAATTGAACGACACCAGACAAAATTTGAGGATCAAAGTTTCAAAAAGTGGTTGTCACAAGCAAATGAAGGTGGCGGCGGGATTTAACTATATATATAAATAAAAATCGCCGAGAATTGAGGTATTGTTTTATGTATTGTGATTTTTTATGTATCTGTTATGTTTGTTAGTGTATTTTTTGTGCCCGTTTTGGAAATATATTATATATGTAGCTGAAAGCTGCGAGGTTTTTTTTTGATAAATTAGTGCAACAATCGCATTTTTGCATTTAGTCGATTAGTTTTATCACGGGAGAATATAAAATGCATTCATGTGAAATAATTTTCTTTTCGGTCCTCCAAAAGCTCTTCGTCATATGTTTATGCCTTCTATGACCTTTTTTTATGTTGATTTAGTAAATATAGAGTTAAATCGGAAGATGCTTATTTACAATCATCTACCGCGTAATAATAACTAATGCTTACGATTTGTTATTCATTAAAGAATTAAAATAAAAAAAGGTCAATCATTTTACAGTGTCATTCTCTTGTAGGAAAAATATTATGATCGGTATACAAAATAATTGAATTTCTATCAGCAATTTTTCCTTTCGAATCATTGTTCAAGGGTAAATTCAAATGATCTAAATGGAATGCATTGAAAAATATTAAATCACCAGGCTCCGCCTCGCATATTATCCCCAAATCTGGAAAAGTTAATTCTCCACCTCCAAAATTTCCAAGTACAAAGCATGCACAAAATCCATATTTCACATCATGTCGATCATGATGCTCCCATACTGTTCCTGAATGCTTTCCACCCTGAACATCCTGCTCTTCTGGCTCTCCTCTCGCATTTCGCCTCTTCAGATTTAAATGCATTACTTGCCAGTATCTTTGCTTTAAAGTGCAATTACTCGGAAGCACAAGATCTGTGTATCTTTGGGCAATATCCGGATGATATTGCTCAAGAGCTTCTCCTGCAATCTTATTTAATATAAATTGAAGAGGCAATATTTTATTTTCATGAAAATTGCACTCTCTTTCTGTGGGAGTTGTTGTAGAAGAAATAGTAAACGGATAAATACTAGATCGTATCCAAGTCCCATAGTGACGTGTGATACATCCTGCACGTCTTTTTTCATTGGGCTTTAGATAGCTAGTCTCTATTTTCTTAAGAATTTTTCTTGCTTCTCGGTATGCTTTCTCTCGATCATCAGTTTCAAACATATACCTCTTTAATATGTGAATTAATGGAATGAATTTCCCCTCCTCAAAAAATCCAACGACAAACCTTTTGTGTGGTTGTTTACCTATTCTTTGGAAAGTAAGTAATTTACTATCCAAGAATAGGTTGGTTTCTTTGATATTGGCTCGGTGTGCATTTTTGGCATCTCGTATTTCCTTATTTTTCTTGTACACATCAACACAGACAGTGATGATAACTGTTTTCATATTTTAGCAATATCTTATGAGTCAAGTTTATTTGAGAACGAGAAACTTGAATATAAATCTTACGTGGGTCATCAGAGTTTTCAGCTACTTTTGGCTTCTTATGAGCAACAGAACTAATGGAGGAACTGGGCGTGTTAGACGCGTTTTTGTTAGAAGCAGCGCTTGAGACAACTTTATTGGACGACATTTTGTAGATCTGTCAATTATATAAATTATTTTTTTACTCGCGAAAATGTTGAAGGGTTTTTTACGAGATCTATTTTCAGACAAAAGAAAATTTTATTATTAGTTTTTTTTATAAGATACATCAAAGACAGAGCAAAAAATGAGAATATTTTGTTATCGATCATTTTGGTTCGAAATGACTTTTCAACCAATATTTATCAGACATGATGATTTAATAACCACCATCATCTTTAATGCAAAAGACGTTTTCATTTCCTCCTAGATCATTACATCAATATCTTGGTAAGTTACGCTGTTCATGAAATATTTTACTTGCCTGTTTATTTTTCTTTACGAAAGCAAAAAGAAGGATGACTTTTTTCATATAGAACGCGTAAATCATGTGATTAGGTATCAATAGCCAAATTTTATATATTAAAATCCAGAGATTACGGGTCCCTGTTGCGGATATTGACAGCAGTCCGATGACGACATAAATTGATTAAACAAGCAATGATATGCATTATTTGTTTAATTAATCGCTTTGTTCTCTCCCACGCAACGTTTCCCAATAGGATCTACCAAAATAGAGTAATACAAACAAGAATGATGCCAATAATAATAGATTGATTAACTGATTTACTCACGTTGCTACTTTGCAAAATCACTTCAGAAACCGCCCTAATTCATTATAGATTGATAGATTTGGCGTTATTGTATATACATATATAATTTAAATGATCAATTAAATAAGCAAAAAACGAGCGAGATGCTTTGTCCTCAGCGCCAAAAAAAAGCGACGCACAAAGGCTCAATAGCAACTTTATTATATTGATCATTGTATCAGAGTTCCCCACCCCTTTCTCGTAAAATTTACCCCTTTTTCTTGACTATATATATACATATTAACGAATTTTCTCGTCATTTTTATGCTGCTGTTCGTTCGATAATAATAATCCAATAAACAAGAAAATCGATTTTTTTACGAACAGTTTTCCCTTTTTTTTTTTTTTTTTTTTACTATTAGCTCATTCAGTCAATTATCTGCTAAATTTCTAACGATGGTGTCTAAAAAGGTCCTCATTATCGTCGCGTTGTTCCTAGTAACGGCGTCTTACGCGATTCCATTTCATTCGAAGGCAAGTGTGAAACAGCTTGCGCCCCTCCTTTCATCAATGGAAGCAGACGTAATTTCAGAACAGTATCTGGTCGTGTTCAAGAATACTGCCGAAGATTCCAGTATTGACTACCATCACGAATGCATTCATCATGCTATAAATTCTGAGAAAATCAAGTTTGAAAAACGCAGTGAGAAAGGGTACATGCAGGAATTAGTCTCCGGCATTCGACACACATACAACTTTGAAAATCTAAAAGGCTACTCTGGGCGATTTAGCGACGATGTTCTACAAAAAATTAGAGAAAGCGATGAGGTAATTTTTCTTCATTTTTTGGGGAAATTAGTATTGTCCTTGACACATTCATTTGGCGTAAAAATTCAATATACACAAACAAATCAACTTGATAATTGATCATCAGACGATATTTATAATCTATGATATCTTCATCTTCATATATTATAATAGGTGGCATATGTAGAGAAAGATCAAACAGTCTACGCATCAGAGCTTCAAAAGAATGCGCCTTGGGGATTGTCTCGTATTTCTCATCGTGATCATTTATCCTTTGGCACTTTTAATAAATATCCATATGATGATGCTGCCGGAGAAGATATTACTGTATATATTATTGATACCGGTGTCAATATTAATCATACCGATTTTGAAGACCGAGCCGTTTGGGGTACTACTGTTCCAGATGGCGACGAAGATATTGATGGCAATGGCCACGGTAAATTTTTCTACTTTTAATATACTAATTGCAATCTTAATAATTAAATAAATAATCAATTTAATAATAGGCACTCATGTGGCTGGCACTGTTGCTGGTAAACGTTTCGGTGTCGCAAAGAAAGCAAAAGTTGTAGCCGTCAAAGTTTTGCGATCAAATGGATCCGGAACTATGTCTGATGTCATTAAAGGTGTTGAATGGGCTGCTGAAGCTCACACCGATGCTGTTAAGAAAGCTAAGAAAGAAGGAAAGACACACAAAGGTTCCGCCGCTAATATGAGTTTGGGAGGTGGCAAAAGTCGAACACTAGATGCTGCCGTTAATGGCGTATGTATATATTTAATAATGTTAATATTATTTTATAATATATAATTATTTTAATATTAATTTGATATATTAAAGGCTGTCGATGCTGGTATTCACTTTGCTGTCGCTGCCGGTAATGATAACCGTGACGCATGCGATTATTCTCCTGCCGCAGCAGATAAAGCCGTTACCGTCGGTGCTTCTAGCATTGAAGACGAACGTGCCTGGTTCTCAAATTATGGCTCATGTGTTGATATCTTTGCCCCTGTACGTTATTTTTTATCTTGAATAAACCTCTCTAATATGTACCCTTGTCATTTACTAAACTTAATAATGCTTATACAAATCAGGGCAAGGATATCACTTCTACCTGGATTGGCTCAAAATCTGCAACTAACACAATCTCTGGAACTTCTATGGCAGCACCACATGTCGCCGGTCTGCTTGCTTACTTCCTATCACTTAATGCTGACAACACATCAGATTTCTATGTTAGTCCATTGACCCCGAAAGAACTCAAGGATAAGCTTATCGAATTGTCGACCAAAGATAAACTTGAAAAAATTCCTTCCAATACGCCAAACAAATTGGTATACAATAATTACAGTCGATGATTTTTTTATTAATAATCATTCAATGAACGGTGGCTTTTTTATTCTTGTTGCCATGATTATATAGAATACAATAAGATTCTTGATAGTTGTCCATTTTTATTTTGTACAATAATAATTACAAAGATAATAAATAAATACGTAAAGTCGTCGTCTTTCTAATTCATTAGAAATAAACCAATATCTGAATTTTTTAATTTTTTGTACTATGATATCGTCTTTGTCTAGCTAAATTTTTCGATCTGCATAAGGGCAATCTTCCATTTAACGATATCGATATCGAATATAATTTTATAATCTTACATAGAAGACTCTTCATGGCCTCAACAAGATCAACGAACACTACCACCTCAAAGGTAACATAACAACTATACTTTGAATACTTGAGAAAACTTTATTGGCTGCAGAAGCGAAACCAATTAATCATTTCCAACTCATACAGCTCGATGAAAAACGACTTTACATCGGAAACCTGGATCCCTCAATAGACGAGTAAGAAGTCCAGGTCTTTCACCGTATAGCTACTTTCAAAGTATATATCTTACTAAATCGGTAGCTTTCATTCAAATTTTCTCATGCTCCATTTAATTTAGATATACAGTAGTAAAACTATTTGAGCCATATGGAAAAATTACACATTTGGACTATTTATTTCACAAGAGTGGTCCAAGACGAGGGCAACCCAGAGGTTACTGTTTCCTAGAGTATAGTCGTAAAGAGGTGAAATATGTGTGTTTTTACGTGTGTATCAATTATCATTGTAATTTTTTATTGATTTGAATCCCTTTTTATTTTTATCCACTATCGGATGTAATATCTCCGAAAACAATTGCACGTAGGAAGCTCTGAAAGCCATGAACGCAATGCATTCGAAAGTAATCAAGCATCGATCAATGATTGTGACTTTTGCATATGCCGTAAGTAGGGATATCATGTATCTTCTTTTTGAATGGAGGTATTTGTTAGTTTATGTCTGGTTAAAGCGAACTGCTTTTTTTTTCACCTTAGGCACCAGATCATTGTGAAACTGGCAACAATTATTTCAAAAAGCGTGGATCATCATCGATTCTTAATAATAGACCGACGACGATTTCGTTATTGAAAACGCATAAAATGGTGAATGTTAGGTAAATAAATAATATTCTATTATAGAAGCTTACCCAGAAAAACGAAAAGTTTCATGGAGCCAATTATTATTTCTTTTAATCTAGCACTGATTCAAAGATTCAAGCGCTAGAGCGAAAGTTAGCACAAATGCAGCAGCCATCACAACCTTCTACAAATAACTCATCTGTCTCGCGGCCATCACTTTCGTCCACAAAACTAGAAGAAAAATCAAAAAAAGCAAATCCATCGTCACTGCTATCTACAATTTCACGAGAGATTGTATCGGATGCCGCAGGAAATAAACAGCAAAGCAAATCAAATAAGGAACAAAGAAGATTCAGTCCTTATGAATTATCAAAGGGAAAAAAGTGATGATAATATATTTTTGGTATAGCAGAACAGTTACCACAATCATTTCTTTATATTTACTAGCGTCTTGCTATTTGTTAGTATTTAATTAACAAATACGCTTCGAAAGATATTGTTCTGATCTTATGTCAATAACAACTTGAACTCGCGTTAAAATTTTAAGAGATACCGAAGCAGTTCTAATTTTGGCGGATTTAAATCACAATATGAACATTATTCCATTTGCATCATATGTTTTTTGTCTTAATTTAATATTCCTTTTTTTTGTATATATTAAGGGATTCCGATCATTTTTATTAAATGAAATGACTTACAATAATCTTTTTTCTGTTCTTTTGACCAAAATTGTCAGGTTTAATACCGACAATGGTTTGTTTCTTCCACCAAAAGTTAATATAGTATATATTTTTTAATCGGCTGGGATCTTTGCCAGCAGACATGATAATATATTAACAAATTTCAATTATTTAACTTGTAATTTAAGAACATCATAAAAATTATAACCTAATAAATATAGGTATGTTGTGATTAAGTAATGTATGAAGGAGAACAATATGGAAATAGATAAGAGATTGACTAGACATAATAAATTTTTAATTCAATTCTAATGAAATAATTTTTGAAAATGTTATGCTATTGTGCTATGTTAAAAAGAAATGAATATTTGATTCCACACAAACCCTCCATAAAATATCATATCTGTTGTAATCATCTATCATCGCTTGTCGTTGTTAGTAATTCTTGATACTCTCGGTGTATATATTATATACAGTTAAATCTAGTGAAATTTGTTCATCTCAAGATTTAGTAGTCAATCAATATACACGCGTACACAAGAAATAATTCCAAACAAAAAGAAGATAATGAAAATAACCAAATGAATCAAGAACGTCACAGAATTACTATGATCTGCTGTTGCCCCTTTATGATATTGAGGAAGAGTCACCGTGCGTATATGTGTGTATGAGTAAGAGTGTGTGGATGATAAAATGGAAAAAAAATAAAGAGAGATCATCTCATTCGCGTGCCTTAAGGTGTTTTTTGCTTGTATTTAGTTGTTTTTTTGTCGTGCGTGTTAAACAAAAACAAACAGAAAAAAACAAAGATAAACTTTTTTCTTTTCGTTCTTAACCGTTCTTTTTCTGAATTTCACTTCTAAGAAGAGAGAAAAACTTGCATTGTAAGTAGCGTGCGCTTTCGCGCAACGTTTTTCACAGCTTTACCCCAAACCCAATGTTTTTTCTTCTCACTCCTTCACCAATTATTTAATTAACGAGTAATTGATGCAAAAACAAAAAATAACACAAAAATAAAATTGCTTTTTTCAATAACCAACCTCAGTATCATACGATTCTGGTGGAGGAACAGCATGGTATGATGACGCAGTATTATTGTTGTTGTTGTCATCATCATAATCATCATCAACAACAACATTAACATTATTATTATTATTATTAATATTAATATTGTTAATATTATTATTATTATTATTAATATTATTATTATTATTAATATTATTATTATTAATATTAATATTATTATTATTATTATTATCTTCTTCGTAATGCGAGTCCAAGCTTGCTTGTGTGCTGCCTAAATTCGGCGAAGAAATTTGTTGCTGTGTTCCGGTGGTTGGTGAATTCGATGAAGTCGTATTGTCCTGGTATCCAGCTGAATAATCATAACCTGCATAACCATAATAATAACTAGGATCAGTTGCATTCATGTTCGTGGATGCTGATGTTTGAGGATAATAACCACTAGTGTATTGGGGATATTGATAATATCTTGTTTGATTATAGGGATTATATGGATTATAGGCAGTATTAGTATTAGCGCTATATGCTGTATTAGTGCCACTTGGGTTATATGAAGTTATCCCGTTGGAAGAAGGTGGTCCTGGTGCAGTAGGCGTCGCAGGCGTAGAAGAATTAGGTTGAGGTGTTGATGTTGGTAGTGGTGGTGGTGGTGGATATGACGGTAGTGGAGGCTGAGATGCGGATGCAGGCGGAACTGGTGGCGATGGAGGTAAAGGTGGATTACCACTTATTGGAGGGGGTGGTCCACTAGGCAACGGAGGGTTTGTTGGAGGTAGTGGATATGCCTATATGCAAAGAAAACAATTATTAATATTATCATTGATAATAAGATAATAATGTTTAATTACGGGGCTAAATAGAAATTTATTTCTTACCCCTCCTTGTGGTGGTGGTGGTCCATAGACTGGAGGCCTAGGATAAGGTGACCTTCCGTAAGAAGGATATGCTGCCTGCTGTACTTTATGTTTTTCCCATTCTATTTTTACAAAATTAATAAGACTCTGACACAATTCTTTTGCCCTATCTAAACCCTCTTGACTCCAACAACTTGAAATGCAGTAAATTAATGATTAATTATAATATCTTCGATAAAATTAATGGCCAATCTATTTTATAAATACATACGTAATATGAATATGGAGAGGTTCGAATGCTTCTGTGCCAGAAGTAGGCTCAATATAACCAGATCCTCGTCCTTTCAGCTGCACTTTAGCTCCAGTTTCTTGTTGAATATGCTTAACAAAAGCTCCTTGAGGGCCAACTATTTTTGCTCGCGCATTAAAAGTACGATCAGGTTCTATCCCGACAAATACTTTGTCCTGCACAAAATGACGCTGAAAGTAGAAATTGGATTAGAAAAACAAAGCAATATTATGATGGTTATTATGTACTACGTACAGTGCCCGTATGTGTTGTGGGTCCTGGACGAGCTGTTGGAGTTGTGGGTGCAGGAGTAAAAGCTTGTTCCATCAACTCTTCAATTTTCTTCACGGCTTGATCAAGCGCTTCTTGCGTTGGAGCTGTGACATGCAAAAATAGAGGTGGATCTTTATCGGTGGCTAGACTTTTATCTGGATAATACTTTCCTCGCGTCGTTACATCTAAAAAATTCTATGTTTAATAAGACTCTTCACAAGAAATTTATTCAAAACCCCCGACAAGGAGTTGTATACCTGCGCCTGTCTCCTTTTGAATCTGTATTTTATCAAATGAATTCAAATTGAAAGCGAGAAACAAATTAATAAATAAACCAGTTATAAATATAATAATAAATATCAACCTGTTGCTGAGTAGCTCCTTTTGTTAGCAAATATCTGTTTTTACAATCGTTTATCGTAATATCCTTGATGAAATCCATATCAGCTTCCTTAATAGCCGATTGAATCTGTTTGTTTTCCTAGTAAGAATTATGAATAATTCATTTAACGATTTAGTATAGATACATAGATACATACGAAATGGAATTAATAATTTACCTCTATATTATTACTATTATCAGTAGTAGTAGTGTCTGCTTTTACAAGAGTTTGAGCCGGAAGTTTAACACCCGTCGCAGGAGTTTTAACGGGGACTTGAATTCCCTTCGCGGCAAGCATAGCTTTAAGTTTCGCCGCGGCAACAGCTAAATTAAATTAAACAAAAATATCAAGAAAAGTCGAGTTTTTTACAATATGCCATATACTTAAGATGGATTCAGATTGAAAATAACAAGTACCAGCTGCAATGTTTGGGTCAACAGAGTCCGAGTTCGAAGGTGTCGGTGAAACACCACCAGACCCAGTTACATCACTACTCTTTTCAAGCTTTGCCTGTTTGGACACTGGTGGTGAAGTATCAGTTTTTGATGGTGGGGCTTCTTTACCTTGATCATCGAGGTCCCACTTTCGTTTTCGACTGCCAAGGTATTTCAAGAGTTAATCAAATGAAACTCTACTTTTCTGATATTCTTTAATAGAAGAATGCAGATGGCGAACTTACTTTTTACCTTGATTAGACATTTTGTTCGAAAATAATTTATGCGTCAAAAAATAATTATAGTATAACTCAAAAAAAGGAAATTTGAATTTTTTATTATTGTGCAACTTTACATCAATCACTTGAGCGCACGTGTAGAGAAAAATCGTACAGTAGGGTACATTTAATGGGCGTTCCGCTGGTACCTTGCACAACATCAAAAAAAAAGAGCTCATTGACGCGAAAGAAAGCTAGCGCGCCTGGACGATTTGAAGAAGGGAAAGGCTTAGCTCGATTATGCAGGCGAACGGAATGAACAAGAAAATAAATGGAGTGATTTCTTAGTTGAACTTTTGAAGCTTCTTTCCGTCGCCGAATCACCAGGTAAGTGAACACGATAGCTTTATCATGAATTTACGCGTTTTTGCAAGGAATACCTACTATATTTGAGATTTTGAAGGGAACGTTTGGTATACTGTGCGACGTTGACTGATGGGTAAAAGAATTACTTGCTCCGAGCTCAATCATACAGCAAAAGAAATGGATAATGAATAAACCAAAGATTCTGATCCAATTTATTTAAATCATCTTTATCTCGAAAGCTGCAAAATATATTTCAACGACGTCGATTGCGTTTTTGTTCTAGAAGTGGTTGACCGTGTTCGATGACGAGAGACGAATTCAAGAGATATATTGAAAGTATTACAATATCAGCTTAACCAGTATGCAAACAGGAGCAAGTATATGACGGCTACTATAGAATGAAGCCAGGAATGGTTTAGGAAATTCTGTTCTTATAATCAATGCATACCATGTGAAATATATCGCGACCGATTTATTTACCATGTTTTCACTTTCTTTATCATAGAACTGTATATTGGAATTGCTTTTAAAAATGAGTATGTGTTTATAATTGATTCTGAAAAAGCTATTCAATCAGACAAACTGTCAAAAAAAAACTATATGTTGAAAAAAAACTCGAATGATCATTACATTAATTAAATATGAAAAAAGTAATATTGTTTTTTTTACAAATAAAAGTGATTTATTACGTGGTTACAATTTATTATGGTGCATAACATATAAAGTCATCAAACATTTGTATTTTATAAAATGGATAAACTTCTTTATTAAGAAGTAAATACAAAATTTAATCCGTGAATATGCTTAGAAAGGGTATATTCTATCATATTCACGGATTAAATTTTGTATTTACTTCTTAGTTTATTCATTTTATAAAATTTAGATGTTATGTATCATATAATTTATAAAATTTTTGCAGCTAAGAGAAATTACTAGTTTGTTATAAATCAAGTTAATTATATTTTAGAGATTAAATTTATAAATTATAATTTTTTAATTTTATAATTTCTTAAATTTTAATTTGTAAATAATTTTGATCAAGATTATTATTATAATTAATTCTTTTTATCATCACACATTTTGAATAATAATAATTTTTTAAAAAAATTTAATTATAATAACAATCAAAATAATATAATAATATTATAAAATACAATAATTAACAAAATATAGTAAAAATTGAAATTTTATTTTATATATATAATATAAAAATTTTCAATTTTATTAATAAATATTTTTTATAATTTATATTTTGATATATATTTTTTCTGGATTTTTAGATTTAATTTGAGAAAATTGTTCTAATTACAAAATTATTATAAAAATTTTTATAATTAAATTTAAAATTACTTATAAAAAATTTTTACAATTAGAATAACTTTGTCAAATTAAATCTAAAAATGTAAATTATAATCTTTATTTTAATATAAAAATAAAAAATAATTATTAATAAAATTAAAAATTTTTATATAAGACAAAAATTTCAATTTTTACTATATTTTATTAATAAATTACATATATGATTCCATAATTTGTTAATCATTATATATAGTGACAATTAGAAATAATGCAACAACGTCAAAATTTATTAATTAAACATAGTAAAATGCGGATTTTTCTCTTTATATAAAGTTTCCAATTTTACTAATAAATATTTTTTATTTTTACATTCAAATAAAAAATATTTATTAGTAAAATTGAAAACTTTATATAAAAAGAAAAATTCATATTTTACTATATTTAATTAATAAATTTTGACGTTGTTGCATTATTTCTGATTGTCACTGTAATAAAATATGAGTTTTTCTTTCCATATAAAAGTTTCAATTTTACTAATTAGTATTTTTTTATTTTTATACAAAATACAAATAATAATTTATATTTTAAAATATTTTTTAGATTTAATATGAGAAATTTTTTCTAATTGCAAAGTAAGTTGATTAATTTTTTATGTTAAAATATGAATTATTCTTTGTATTTTGTAGAAAAATCAAAAATATTGATTAACAAAATTGAAAAATTTTATGTATAAAAAAAATATAATTATAAATAATATATAATTTTTTATTTTAAAAGGTATAAATTTAAAAAAATCAAGAATTTTTTATATTACAATTATTAGATTTAATTTGAGAATTGAAAAAATCTTTCTAATTGCAAAATAAATTGTTTAATTTTTCATAATTAAAACATGCGACTTTCTCAGATTAAATCTATAAGAAAAATCACATTTACTATGTTTTTTAAAGAAATTCTATATTTCTATCATTTTTAATATTTATATTATTATTCACGTTGTAATTGTTTGCACATACCTCAAAATAGCATTAAAAGCGGAATTTGGGGAGGGTTGATATGGCAAAATTTTAAATTTTAACCATATCGATATAAATATTTCTCAAAAGAACTTCCAATTAAGCATCAAGATATTTTATCTTTTCGTTAAGCGTTAATTTTATTGTTTGTACTAATAAATAGAGTCGCTGATTAATGCAATGAAAAATAGGGGTGCAATTTTACACGTCAGTGATAATACAACATAGGTGAAAAAAAGTTTTCAACCTTCGACATTCAACTTGCTTTTCCTTGATTAATAATACTTGATAAAAATTATCCGAACATAACCTCACCAAGGAAAAGTGTGCTCAAAAAGAAATTATATTTGAACCAAAGCGCCAATATCGCGCAAAATAATCTTAAAGAACAAGCAATGGACCAAGCAGTATATGAAACTTTAACTCAAGTCCTTTCCACGGACTCAAACCTTCGAATTTCTGCAGAGTTAAGGCTTAAGGAGCTAGAAAAGTTACCAGGTAAGTTTATCCACATTATTAACCTCTGAATGCGTTTCGCGACGCGTCTTTTTTATGGCAGTTTAAAATTAAAAGTTGTTACGACGCGTTTTTTTGTTTGAAAAGTCTTTATAAAGTTCAAAAAAAGCTTTCTGATAATAATAAATCCATGAAATTTAAGACTCTTTTTAATGACTATACTATATAATAACATTGGTAGTAACTAATAAATACATTCTTTTAGAATATCCAATTAGCTTGGCGAAAATTGTATTGGCTTCGGAAGTGAATATAGCAGAGCGTCAAATATCCTTAATTTTTTTAATTTTAATTTTCATTCGTTCAAATACTATTAATAGGATTATTATCTATGACTAATTTTGACATTACTCGGCAGCCCTTAATTTGAAAAAATACGTAAATTCACATTGGTCATCAAAGGCGGAACAATTCACCGAACCTGAGCCGGATGAGAAGGTTTTATTGGATCATTGATTAACATCTAAATATAATATAACTAAAGAATTTCTATTTCCTTTTTTAGACAAAGTCCGTAGTTAGAGAAATGATTTTTAATGCTCTTTCGGACCATAATAGCAAAATCCGTGTAGTTTCGGTAGTAATATTGAATGAATCCATATGCTTTACTTCTTTAATCAACTCACTATTCACGTTACTCGATTCGTTCAGGCTTATGTTGTCTCGAGAATTGCACAAAATGATTGGCCTGATGCATGGCCAAATCTTATAATTCTATTAATAAGCTTGTTGAAGACAGGTTCACCTAACCATGTCCATGGTGCTATGAGAGTACTTACAGGTAAAGAGATCAATTTATCTACAAGGAAAACTTTGAAATATTAAACTCGACTGATTAATTTTTGGATTTTCAAAGAATTTGTGGATCAGGAAGTAACAGAAAATCAATTCTCACAGATTGCACCTATACTGTTTCCGGAACTTTTCAGAATCCTTCACTCCAATGAGGTATTTAGTTTTCTTTAGAGTTACACAAATTACTGCATTACTCAATAGTGACATCTTTGATCGTCTCTCTTATAGTTATACTCATTCAAAATTCGTGCACGCGCTGTTTCAATTTTCAAACATTGTCTTGAAATACTAGTTATGCTTAAGGAAGAACATCCAGAAGCGACGGAATCTTTTATTACTCCAATTCTTCCTCAGTGGTTACAGCTTTTTGTTAATACATTAAAAAAGCGAACAACAGGGGATGAAAGACTTGAATATGAAGAATATGGCTTGAAATTAGAAATTATAAAGGTTCTTTCTATAATTCATATGAGCATTAACTTATTCTTTAATATCTAATTTTTTTTAATCCCGCTTTTTTTAAAGTGCATAAATTTTTCAATACCGCATTATCCGAAATTGGTTTCCCCACATCTGATTTCATCACTGGAAGCAATATGGACTGATTTGGTTAACCAACGTGAAAGATATCCTAAAAATATACTTTAAAAAAAATCAAATATTTCCTTTATTCTATTCTTATTCTTTAACTTGACTTGTTTGTCGAAAATGTCTATTTATATTGATATTATTACACGTTCGAGAGCAAATACGTACGTCAGTCAAGTGATTCAACAGATTATTATTACGAATCCGATGGAGAACCAATAGGATTTGAGCACCTTCTCTATGCTCAATTTGAGTTCATCGGATTATGTATTCGTAAAAAAACAACACAAAACGTTTTCATTGGGAATAATGGCGAAGCAACGCTATTAAAAGAAATTATATGGATTATTATTGAATATATGAAAATGACTCAAGATCAGGTTTATGCACTATTTGTGAAATTATTATGTGATTATTTTGAAAAGTTCTTGTGCTTAGTATGTTGGATGCTGTATTAATAGGCAGAGACTTGGCTAAATGATTCGAACCAGTTTATCGAGGAGGATGATGAAGATACACATAGGTTTACTATTAGAGTGTCAGCCGAAGAATTATTACAGGTAAAAGACAGTTTATCTTCTATCTTATTATCTCATTATATTAAATAATTCTTGCGAATATAGATATTATTGGACAAATTCCCTGAACAAGCATTTCAGGCTCTGCAAGAAGCGACGCAGAAGCATATCGAAGAATCACATAAGGCTCGTGTTGCTGGCGATCCTGCATGGTAATTTACGCAGTGAAAGTTTATCCAGAGGTGCTCTACCTAATAAGTTATTAATGCTTTTTTCGCACTAGGTGGAAGATTCAGGAGGCTTGTTTGAAGGCGATTGGATTTATATCTGAAGAATTAATAGCCGCTGTTCAAGAAAAAGATAGCAAACTCAATTTTGATATAGCTGGACTATTTAATAATGTTGTTCTGGCTCTTTTGTCAATGACCGGTAAGAAATTTATATTTCACCAAATCTATCATTTTTTTCGATAAATATACCATTTTCTATTTAATTTATTTCTTTTGATTATAGAACAACCTTTTCTTCAAGGACGCGCATTTGTCTTTGTTAGTCAATTCGCCTCTATATTACCTGTTGAACATGCATCCAAATATGTAGAAGCTGCGGTAACCGCTCTTCAACAGAATGGCGCAATCCCTCTCCAAGTATCAGCCTTGAGAGCACTGCAAAAGTAAATCTATTAGACAGTTTGTTATTCTTGAGGAGAATTGATCACATGATGATAATCTATGGTCAAACGTCTTAGTTTCTGTCGCCACATGAAACGTCAATATGTAGCACCACATCAGGAGAAAATTATTGAATGCGTTGCAAGTCTGTTGAAATCTACCACCGAAGACACGCTCATCTTAGCTTTAGAGACACTTGAGGCTTCTGTTAAAGTAAGTCGGTTTTTTAGATTGTTTTTTTAGACGCCATTTTTTCTCATTCTTAAATAAATTAGGTTGACAAGGAAAAGATATCTCAATACGAGCATGTTATCGGTCCTTTGATCATTGAAGTTTGGTCAAGTCATGCTAATGGTAAGATAATTATTTTGTTTGACTTATATTATTCTATTATTATTATTATTATTATTATTATTATTATTAATTTGTTTTATTTTATGTATAGATCCTCTTATTACAGCCACTATCGTAGATTTATTTGAGTTGTTAGCTAGTGATCATGCTATGAATATTAGTTTTCAGGCTAGAGCTCTGCCGTCCCTCGCTAACGCTATCACCAATCCTGCAAATCCTGATTTAACGGCAGTATGTATTGTTCTACTTTTATTGAATAAATTTCAATCAATGAATTTCATATGATCGATAATTTTATTCTGGATTTTAAAATTCAATGAATAGTCAGCTATTGATTTGATTAAAAATTTAGTAAAGGCTAGCTCATCCTCTTTGCCGGACGGTTACATCCAGCACATTTTCCCCCCTCTGATGCACTTATTATTGACAACCGAAAATCGTGATATATTACAGGTAAGTAAAATTTGATTATCCTTAGGAAACATGATTAACCAATGCATCGTGTATTTTACATTATAGAGCGGCGAAGAATGTCTTAAATTCTTTGTTATGAAAGATTGCATGAAGCTTGCTCAGTGGTAATTTATTTCTATATAATTAAATTTATTTTCTTTACGCATCTAAGCATATACTTTTCTTTCTTAATCGAAGGAATGATGGGACAGGAAAGACAGGCCTTGATTATATTATTGAGCTTATTGCAAAATTACTTCAACCATCTGAAAGCGAATCAGCTGCATTGTTTCTTGGCGAATTGATTATAAAACTCATTCAAAAGGTTTTAAGATTATATTCATTTACTTTTTCCAAACTTTATTCCACCATGATTTATATGAATATTATTTAATGCATTAGGCCGGTGACTTAATATTAGTTGTACTTCCAGATTTATTAAAAGCCGTGGCAACTAGGCTGGAAACAGCACAGACACCGACTTTTATACAGGTTTGATTAGCATTAAATTCGTGACTTTTGCTTCTATGTAGTTTTAATATTTCTTTATCTAAAAATATTCTTAATGTTATTAGTCAATGGTTATGATATTCGCACATTTGTTTAACAGTCAGCTTGAAACAGTTGTCAATTTTCTGAGTGAATTTAACGTAAACGGACGTGCTGGTCTTGAAATATTACTAAACACCTGGTTTGAAAATTATGAAGATTTTCACGGATTTTATAGTTCAAAAATCAGGTATTATATTTTATTATACTTAATTTTAATAGACTTGTGACAATTAAATATTAATTAGGCTTTGAATAGTGCGATGGCTTTAACAAAGTTATTTTTATCTGGCGATCCGAGAATGCAAAATATTCAAGTCAGAGGAGATTTGATAATTTCAGGCTCAACAAGTATTTCATGAATAAAATTATTTTTTCTTTTTTTTAATGACGAATTAACTTTTTTTTTTAAATAGGAATAATGACACGTTCTCAAACACGTCAAAGTAACGTATTAACAAATTATCGTATTTTTGTTATTTTTTTCGTCGTATGTCTAATTCTCTATAAATCTATTCTTGAAAAGACCCTGATAAGTACACTTCTGTACCAGCAACTGAAAAGATTATAAAATTGTTGCTCTCGGATCTGCAGAATGCTATTGAGATCGATAGTTTAAAAAAACCAGAAAACGAAGACCAAGAGGATGAGGAGGAAGCCGGCGATTCTGATGATGATGTGAGATTTATTGTACTCGATTTTTTTTTGAAATATAGATTACTTAGTTCTTTTATTTTAACTCAAGGATGGAGAATGGGAAGATGTTGATGAATTATCTCCTTTTGCACCAGCCGAAGATTATCGATTTTTAGGTACGCATTATACTAATTCTTTGGATGACATTTCTAAAATCAAAAAGCTTTATTGTATTTTTATTATTATTTTAGAAATATTAGATAAGTCGGTGGATTTAGATGATGCAGAAAACGATCTAGATATTCAAAACGATCCTGTCTATCAAATGAATATCAAAGTAAGCCTTAATATTTAATCTTTGAATTTTTACAACATATTCCTATACTCACATGTATATTTATTTATCATAATTAGGAATACCTCATTAATTTCTTTCGACATTGTGCTTCTCAAAACGTTAATAATTTTCTTCAGATCACTGAGAAAAGCCTCAACCAAGAAGAAAAGTTAAAATTGCAATCAATTATAACAGCCAAATGAACCAAATAATTCGATATTATTCATTGATCAAAATTATCCTATTGTGCTTGTGTAAAACTAATTATAGTATATAATAATAAGCTTAATTCATTAAAATTATTCGTGACTGAATCAATAATAATTATAAAGTAAAAATGAGTTTCAATGTAAATTCTTTATCAAATCTTTTTATAATATTATTTCCTGTTATTAAGTAATTATCAATTAATTTTGTATAATTCAACTTGAATTATCGCAAATGGCCATACATATAAAAGACCCTGGATCTGTTACATTTCACGGTCCAGAAACCTGTATTATATCGGTATAAGCATAATTTTTCTACTTTTAAAGAATGATTATCTTATTCAATTTTATAGAATAAAGCTGGTTTTATTAAATTTGTGTCAATAGCCGAGATTTTGCACTGGATACAATACAGGGATCTACTATCAGAGGTGATCTTTTATATGACTATTTACGATATAATAAATAAATTTATATAAAAAACCATATGTAGTAGAAAAGTAATTTATGAATTCAAAGAATAATAGGGATACACGTTAAATGGCCTAGGCGTTGTGTAACCTCTTTCTTGCAACTTTATAATTCTTGTTATATAACTAATTTTGTAACATCCTTGATAAATACTCTAAAAATCAAAATAAATAAATCAATTAAAACGTAATCTAATGTAAAATTATCCAAGAAACATTTTTAATTAGAGTATCAAAAGCAATTTATTTAATAAAATTTTGAGTTATTAAGCAATTTTTAAGAGTCAATGAATTTTAAATAACTCAAAATTTTGTCTAACAAAAAATGTTTCTTGTATAATTTTATATTAAAAAATCAATTTTGATTATACACCTAAACATTTAATATCTTTACATTATATTAGTTTAGAGTTTTTGGGAATGTTTTATTAACAACAATAATATTAATTCTTATATTAATACTAGTAATACCAGTAATACTAATAATACTTATATAAATATTAAATAATATTAATAATATTTGTGATTAAATAATTTATAAGATTAATACTATTAATACAATTAATCTATAAAATTAATAATGTTAACAAAATTAATTTACAAATTAGTATGGTGCAGCAATTCTTAAATCAATAATATATTTTATATTAAAAATTTTTCAACTTCTTAACTAATAAATAAAGACAATCTAATTAATAATATTATTAAAAAGCAAATTTTTGATAATATTACTGATTAGATTTTGGTTTTGCTTCTTAATTAAGAAGTTGAAAGAATTTTAATATGAAATATATTGTCAATTTAAGAGTTACTACACTATAATACAAGTATTATGAGTAATTATTATAAATATAATATGTATTTTAAATAGAATTAAATAGATTTTAAATTTTTCTATATTAAAAATAGTTAATAATTCAAGAAGTTTCTTGTTTAATTCATATTAGTCATTTTATATTTTATAATATTTATATTTAATTTATATTACAATTAAATCTCTCTATAGTTATCACTCTTGGAAAAACAAAATTTGATGATTATAAAGAGAATATAACTATAGAGAGATTTTTTTACTATATTTATATGTAAATGAAAAAACAAAACAAAGTAAATATAGAGAAATATAGTGCATAACCTCTAAAGTTATCAAACATTTATATTTTATAAGATATATAAACTTCTTTACTAAGAAATAAATACAAAATTTAATCTGTAAATATAATAAAATATGCTCTTTTTGAACTTATTTACAGATTAAATTTTGTATTTACTTTTTAGTAAAGAAGTTTATATATTTTATAAAATACAAATATTTGATGACTTTAGATATTATACATCATATAACTATAAATAGGTATAACTATAAAGAGATTTGACTATATTTTTATATTATTATTATTATTAATATAAAAGATATATGTTAATTAATTTTTAAAGATCAAATTAGTTTAATAGTAATTAGTTACACTCAAGTAAAAGATGTGAAATATTAAAATAAGTATCACAAGATAATTTATAAAATAAATCAAGTTTTATTTTAAATAGAATAAATTAAAAGATCAAATTATTATAAATATAATATCTATTAGCTAGAAAAAACAAATATATTCTTAGGTAATTTTTAATTAACTGGTATTAATAAAATTTCTTTGCTTTTATCTCTTAATAAATATAATAATTAACTTATTATGTATTCATTAAAAAAATTAATTACTTTGTTTTTCTCTTCTTAATTAATAATAAAGATTCTTGATAAATCTAAAAATACTTCTTAATAAAGTAATAATCAAATATTAAAGAACTTAGTATTTTTTATCCTTTATAAATTCTTTAATAATACTTTGAGTTCTTGGTGAACTCATTCTGTTCTTTATAAACTCATATTTTTTTAAGTTTTTAATGAACTTGTTAAATTCTTAGTAAATCTTTTAGTATTTTAACTAATATATAATAGTAATAAAAAATTATTTTATACTTAACTTATTCTTTCATGCTTTTTTACATGAATATAGTTACTGCTTACTATATAGTAAAGATCTTTATTTGTAAAAATTATTAACAATAACAATATATTATATAATAATTTTTGCCTTCATTAATTAGTTTTAATTGTTGATTTGTTATATAATTAAACCTCTCTATAGTTATACTTATTTATAGTCATATCTCTTTATAATCATCCTATTTTGCTTTTTTATTTATATATAAATATCTTTTTATAGTCACATTCTTTTTATAATTATTAAATTTTGCTTTTCTAAAAATGATAATTATAGAGAGGTTTGATTGTATTTAAAAATCTATCTTGCTTTAGATAATAATTCTGTTATGAGTATCAACTATTATAATAATACTATTTTTATTATGAATACTCTTCTACTTTGAAAATTAATTAGATTATTTTTTTTATTATAATTATTAAATATATTAGTTAATAGTGAATAAATATTATTACTAAAAAATATTCTTAGTATAATTATATTCTAAATGAACTTTATATCTTTAGTAATATAAATACAATAAACAAATTAAATCAAATATTCAAAAATAATTATATGTAAAATAATATTATTTAAAGTAATATACTAAAGTTTTAAATATTATTAATTTGATATAATTATAACAATAATTTGTTAATTGTATCTTAATTAATTAATGCTTTATTTTAAGAGTGAGAATAATTTTTTATATACATATTTTTGATACTGAATTTTTGTTTAGACAATTATATGAAATAATAATAATAAAATAATCAAGTATAGTATTTAACAAATTATTCAGATAATATTAAATAATTTCTAATTAATATTAATTAAATAAAATCTAAGTCTGAATAATATTGAATAATATTAAATAATATTGAATAATATTAAATAATATTGAAAATTCTGATTATGATCAGATAATAATAATCAAATTGAATTATATTTAAACTTATTTAATAAAATATGTGATTTATTACTATTTGATAAGATATAAATATGATTGAAGTATTATTAAAAATATATATTATATTATAAATAATATCTAAATCATAACATTGTATTTATACTATTTTATATTATTATTAATATTCTCATATTAAATAAGTTTAATATAAAAAATATATGTTAATCGATCAATATTATTTATTTAGATTAATATTAATTATAAAATATATATAATATTAAAGTAAGTAATATATAATAATCAAGTAAGTGAGCACTTTTTATATAATAATAATATCAATCAAATTTAATTTTAGATTTTAATAATTAAGTAACAAATAACTTGTATAAATATAAAATATATCTTAATATTTTTTAAAATAATCAGATTTGAAGAATCAGATTTTAGTAATTAGATTAGATTTTTAAATAATTAAATTTTCTTGGATAATAATCTTTTGTTAAATAATTTCTCATTTTTATTAGTGATATCTTTCTATTTGATATAATTAATTTCTTGTTATTTTTGTAAAATTAATTATTGTTATTTAAAAACTTAATAAAAGAAAGTTATTTATTAAAAAATAAATTATTAAAGAAATTTATTTAATAATAAACTATATATTGTTATCATTTTAATAGAGCTTTCAAAATACTCAAAGATATTTATAAAATTTAAGGAATATTCAAAGAGAAACTTCCAATATCTTAATGACAATTCAAAGTATTAATAATACTTTATAACTATTAAACTGAATGTGAATAAATATTAAAAGTACTAGTAACAAAATCACTTAAAGGTTGGTAACAGTTGTATTCTTTTAACGCAATAACTGGATTACTAAAAAGAGTTCTCAAAATCTCAATATCAAATATAATATATGTATTAAAAACATCTTTAAATCTTTGAAGTCAAATATAAGATATAATATTTGTATTATCAGCAATACAAA